AGCAAGAAAATCTTAAGAGATTTGTTCCAAAAGTTATTAACGCTCGTGCCTGCCTGAGGTTTTTTAATGCTCGTCGATTTAACTATTACCATGACGAAAGTAATTTAATTATCTTATGCAACTACTACTTTGCTCATTAACGTGACCAAAAAAGCAAGTACGAGTCACCGTCGTATGACCGCAAGAATTTTTTATCAGCTCTTAATATTATTTCAACAATTTCTATTATTCGAAAAATTGAGGAAATCATCAAAAGATTGTTTGCAAATATTATATATGTGTGGGTGTATGGGTATGTGTGCATGCGCGCATAGATATTTCATTTATAGCATAAATTTATTTGGATAAATATGGAAAATGAATTAAAAAAAATAGGCTTATAAAAAAAAATGAATAGTTTCAATAGGATTTAATAGGATTCGAATTTTTCACTTGATATATTTTTATTTATATTTTATATACAGATAAAATGTTTATTTACCGACTTACATTCATCTCGCAAAAATAAATATAAGCTCATAATAAACAAACATCCGGGCAATCTTATAATAAAAATAATGATTAAAGCAAAGATGACACAAATAAGGTCTATTTAAGTATTAATCTATTTAGTGCCAGATTCATGTATTAAAAAAAGATTCAATTTGATATTTTATTATGTGAAATGAAATAAAAAACTTAATATCTATTTTTAAATGTAAATAATAATATATAGAAATGAAGAGCTTCAAAGTTGTGAGAAGATTTAAAAAGAGAAAGAAAATTCAAAGGAAGATTCAAAGTATATATCTAAAAGGTTAAATGCTTTACATTAACAGAGTTTTGCATTTTATAATTATTTTATTACGCGATGCATTTTTAATAACATTACATAAAATTTATTATATGTGTGTGTGTATATATATATATATATATATAAATTGTGAAATATATATTTATATAATAGTTATATTTATATAACGCCCACACTGCAGTGCAGCCAATTACAAGTATTATTTATATTGTCGCCGCGTCACACAATGCCTCTCATTAAGTTATTATTATTATAATATTTAATAATTAGCTATTTGATCTTTTCATGTTATTAATTACATGATTTTAAGATTATATAAGCTTATCAATTTCCATCAAGAGGACGTTTTTTATAAGATTTAAATTATAATAGAAAAAAAGCAATCAATAGTATTTTTTCATAATAAAAATCTTGATAATATGAATTATATTAATTAAATCTTAAAATGAATATTACAGTTTACACTCAAAAAGTATTTTAAACCGTGCAAAATGTTTCTGGAGATAAAATGTTAAAGATTTTTGGATCTTAAAAAACGAAGTTGCGCGAACCAAATTTATCGAATACGATTAATTTTCCAATAATGTTTAATGCATTAAAAATGGCTTTTTTGTGATATTCGAAACTTTTTGTAAAAAAGTTTAACATTATATTGAAATTCTAATCAGAAATTATAAATGTATTTTTCATATTCTGTAAAATATTTTTTATTTTAAATTCTGTAAAATACTTTTTATTTTAATATTTCTTACTTTTTAGTTAAGTTATCAGTTAATAAAACTCTATATTTAAATCCTTTAATGCAAGTTAAATTTTACTTGGTTTGTCATCATTTTTGTTAAAAAAAAAATAGATGAAAAATGCTTTCATGAATGTAATTAGGTATTCTGCGCGCATTTAGAAGTAGAATGTCAATTTTTATTTCTTTTTTGCTTGAAAAAAATTTTTGCTTGGGAAGATTTGTATTTAGTGAAATTCATCTTTAATACCTATAGTATACCTTGAGATTCACTAATTGTAAAATTATATCGTCGATTACTGCTTATCTGCTTTCTGCAGATTCAGAACATCTTCAAAGAACTGGATAATTAAAATGGTAAATCTTATTTCAAAGACAAAATGAGAAATATAGGCAGCATGCAATTTGATAACCAGGTAATAGCTATCAAATTCACGTGCATTTTCTCATTGTTATGCCAGAGTAACTTTGGCAAGGAGAAGGAAATTTCTCGTTGAATCTTAGATCGTTTTCATTGCAGATAATCCCACAAGCAGAGTGTATTATAAAGTTATTTAATAGAAACACAAGGCTTTCGTAAAATTTAATTTGATCTAATATGGAAACACACAAACTGTAAACTTTAAAATTTAAGAAACAGTCGAATTATTTAAAAAATTAAAATAAAACTTTATTTTAATGAAAAGTCGCTGAATAATTATTTATAATAAATGTTTATGATTTTGCAAATAGGATTGAGAGCAAAATTTGATAAAAATAAATTTTTCTGTAAGCTTTATAAAAGATTTCGTTTTTAATAATCTTTTATAGATCAACAATAGATGAATAGAAAAATGATATTTAAATATTTTTGTCATAATGTATTTCTTAAATAGATAACGTATTCCATTTCAATCGATGTGAAAAACTGTGAATAAACCAATAATTAAAATGATAGAAAATGTGAGATTTGTGAAATAATTATTTTTTGTATTGTTGAAATGGCGAAGCTAGAGATTTTCATTTCTCGGTGATTTGACAAGTAAATTTTCCGCTTGAATAAACAACTGAAAACGCAGTAAAATTTTTGAATGTAGATTTTTAATTTAGATGTTCGTATCGTAAAAACGAGTGAAATGCACACGAAAGAAAGAACAAAAGATCAATTGTGAATTGTGCAGAAATATATAACAATTTTTGCTTAGTTCTGTGCTGTACGCATTCAATTTCACACGTGATTAGCAAACAACTAAAAATCGAACATTAAAAAAAAGAAAAGTATAAGAAAAAATGGGGAAAAAAGGAAATGTGTTTTGTATGTATGCAAATATACGTTAAGATAACAAATACTTTTAATTTTGAGCAGAACTAATTTGAATATTGGATTAATTTTTTTTTTTATAAAAATATACAGTTTTTAACAAAAATACATTTGAAAATTTTCTGAAATTAAATTTCTTAAAAGATGAGAAAATATAGCAATGTTTATTTTGTTTATTAATTTCAAGTTTGATTGTACTTTTCTGCTACTTTAATTAAAAAGTTGACATTTAAATTTAAAATAATTTAAAGATATTTAACTAAAAGATAAGAAGAATTTTTACATAATATAGTTCTTCTCGAAATTTTCTCTAAGGGCAAGAGGGTATAAAATATACAAATGGATTCACAATCCATTTGTATATTTTAAGATCGTGTTAAGTATTGTTTTAAGATGTTAATGCAGCCCTCTGATTGATTTATAATTTCATAAGACTATAAGACTTAAGACATTCTCAATAAGATATAAATAAGAATCTTTCTCTTTTTTTTTCTTTCAACTATAAATATCGGCCTAAGAAAAAGTTTAACAAAGCTCTCTAAAAATATTAAGAGGCATTTCCTAAAATATTAGTAATTCGGGGACAGTAAGTTACAATGTTATAGTATGTAACAAAATTACAATTTTTATGACAAAATTTTTAAAGATGATAACAATCTATATTGCTTTATCAGTGAAAATAGATCAATCCGAGATCCAAAAATCTAAAAGCTCACGTATGCAAAATTATTCGCGGAAATCTCTGCTTCGTTTCGAAGTCAGTTTGCTACAGAACTCTGACATCAAAGACGCAAGAACCTTTTCATTCCATAGACAGAACATTGATGTGCTTCGCACTAATATAAGTAAGATTCGTACGACGTATAATTAAAAAAGGAAAAAAAAAGAAAAAAAGAAAGCACATCACGTTAAGATAAAAATCACCCTTTTCATTATGATCTGTAGCAGCAACCACAATACAGAGAATTCTTAATGAAAATGGTCCTCTCTTGTAAGGATCACAGACATAATAAAATAAACGGTTGCTAACTTGTGTTCAGCTCCGCATGTGGCAAAATTTTTCAAAATGTTTTCAAATGTTTGACTTTACAACAATACCGCGATGTCGCGCGAAAAACTGCCACGGCACGATTTAATGGAGATTCATGAAAACATTGCCTCTTGTTAGTTTAGTTTCAACAAATTGAAAAAGTAGTCTTGGGTCCACCCGCATGTGTCCTAAACATTCAGTCTGAACATAAAGTACAATTAGATACAAAGATATAAAGAACAATAAAAACAGGTTTGGAAAAAGAGTTAAATTTAACTTGTCAGTAATTGGAAACTGAATTAGAATTATCATGAAACATGAAAGAGATTTCTTTAATCTTTTATTGCTCTTAGAAACGATTATTTTTAGATGAAATTAAATATAAAAAGACATTATGATTCTAAATATATAATTATGCTCGCTATAAATATCGTGTAAAGAAGTATTAACGTAGAATATTTTTTCCCTGGAAATCAGCGGAAACCAACTGTAAAACATTTCATATAAATTAATTACGAAAAATACAAAGTTATTTTCACGAGAGTGACAGTTTTTTAAAAGAATGGCATATGCATCACATTTAAAAAAAATTTAACATTTTGTCACACTTCACGATCGAGTAAACGAAACGTAGCCTTTAAAAAATCGATAGGCCTCTCTCTGATCACAAATTTCTAAATCTTTTTTCACTGCCTCCATTTTTCAATCTTTTCATGTACATGAATGTCTTCCCACACATATATTTTAAATATCGACATCAATAGACCGAATGAAGTTACATACCTGTCAAATATTATTGAGATCGAATACATCATCACATCGTTTATCGGAGATAAACCTGTATTGGAGAACAATTTCTTAATGAAAACGTTTGTGCAAAAGAAAATTCGCAAAAAACCACCAGAGTGAGTAAGTTCTTCTACCTCCTCGTCATATTTCGTCGCGAGAGAGTAGCAAAGTTGGAGGGATGAACGGGGCATGGCAAGAAGAGGACGCTTGCGCCCCGTGACCGCGTGGCCGCTTTCCAACGGCCACCTGTGCGCCCACTCTGTCTCTTTCTCTTTCTCTCGCTCTCTTCCCATCTCTCTTTCATCCCCCCATCGAAAGCACGGCTTTCCCATATATATGAAGGGTCCCTCGGTATCGCCACACTTCGCATCATTACCGCCGTAACGTGCAAGCCATTCAATCCCTGCTCGACTCACATCACCTGTGACTAACGCTCAAGAATTCAAACTCGGTGAGTTCAATGATTTATTTCGTATGTACGTCCTTTTGTATTGTTCCTTATTTTAACTTTTATTTCTTTTTCTTTTCTGGTAGTTATCTTTACGTTTAACAAGTCCGCATCATGGAAAATGTGTTTTTTTGCAATTTGTTTCGAAAATATTATAAAATCTTATTATAATTAATATTAAACTTCCGTTGTTTGACTTATTTTTAAATTCGTTGGTCGTGAGTTTAATTAACATACGTACTGTGTGCATTTTAATTATGAAAAAAAGAGATCAGGAAACATTATATTTTAAGTATTCTCTAATTCTGTGAAATAGAATTACTCATCAAAATGTTTCACAATGTGAAAAGATTTTGTTATTTATATAATTACGATAATAATGATCACAGACATGTTATTAAAACTTCTATATAATTAATGACTATAAGAAAAAAAATTATATTATTGTTATGAATATATCAAAAATATTATAATAATTCAGTAAATACTTTTATGCTATTTTCTAATTGATTTTTATAATTCCATTGCATAAATGACAGATTATCATTTCTTATATTATTTGTGATTTTAATTATCTCAAAATTTTATTTTAACTAATTTTTTTTATTTCTTGAAACTGTTGAATTATAATTATTTAAACAAATTATAATTTGCGCCAAATTTCGGAATAAAATTCTTTTTATAATATATATTTTTGTATATTAAATATTTTCATACATTGCGTGTGTATTTATATAAATCTTTTGTTACATTTTTAATATATATTTTGGTATATTTTAAATAAATGTTGTTTTGATTTTTTAAATACATTTTTTAATTATACGGCACATAAAATTACACACAGAATTCTATTCTTCTAGAGAGAATCATAAATTATAGAAAATAGACTTAAAAGTGTAATTTACTTTGATCATATAGCTTTTTAAATTTAGTAAATCATTCAAAAACGATAAACCAATAAATAATAAACCAAATTCTATTTTAAAATATCTAATGCAGTACATTCATTTATAGTACATTTTATATGTTTTTTTAAAGTGATGGGCATAACCGATGATTTGTTTTTAAAAAACAATTATATTAAATAAACGCAATTGTAAATCGATTGTGCTTTCCAACTATAGTGTAAGTCGAAATGCAGGTCAATCTTGTCCATCAATTCTGTCGACTCTCAAAACAAAAAAAAACAAATTAATCATTTAAATAATCGATTATTAATCGATTATGTCCATGATTTAAAATGTTTAATACTATTTATTTCTTATTACTTATTTATTCATTTTGTTTTAATGATATTTATTATAAACAGTATATAATGAATTTTATTTTAGAAAGAATAGTGTTAATTATTACATTTATAGTGTTAAAATTAGATTTTTTTATTAATTAAAATGTCAATAATGCAACCAATTACGAATAATTAAATGCAAACTGCTAGTTTTCCTCAGATTAATTAATCTTTATTCTCGAGTTATGTTTCTTGCAAAAAATATACCATGTATAAAAAAATATGATTTTACATAGTTATCAATTAGTATATGTGTGTGTGCGTGTGCGTGCGTGCGTGCGTTTCACATCACTTTCATCTTCATTGAAAAAAATTGAATAATCATGACGCGTGATGTAGCAATAAACTTTTGGGAAAAATAATACATCGTTTTACGTACTGAATCATTTTTCTACGTGATTAGATAACGATACGTATAATTCAAAATTAATGAGTAAAACAATTTAAATTTTCTAATGTGATTTAGTTTTGTATATTTTAAACATTTATAATATAAATTATATAAACATTGATTTTTTCTTAAAGCACATGAATAATCTGCAGATTAATTTTTATCAATGACACCCTAAGAAGATACAAAGTTTAAAATCCTATGTCTTTTGTAAAGAATATTTATAAAAAGATAGTAAAACTTTAAACATTTAATAATAATTAGATTTTTAGATACTTTGATTTTTTCTTATTGTTTTGTAAAACTAATTATAAAAATTTAAATGTGTAACTATACTGCGTATATGTATATATATATTTTGTTTAAAAAAACCATTGATTGATATATATATATATATATATATATATATATCAATCAATGGTTTTTTAAACAAAAAGCGCTTTTGTATTTCTCATAAAAATTGAGTACGCTGCCCTTACGATTATGATGTACGTAAATCCATTGAAACTATCCGGCGGCGTGGTCATTACTATTTTCTTTATCACGATATAATGGGTGATAAATTACTAACGTAGGTCAAAGATATAAAACAGAGGACAAAGAAAGACTGACATTTCGTAACTGGATTATATCGGCTTACAGCCGATATATTTGTGAATTTTAGAATAATTTCATTTAAAACCTGTAATTATTTTCAGCATATTGTACGTCATGTATTACATATCATTACATTTAATATGACATAAATTGTTATTTTTTTATGTTTGAAGTTTCACATTAAGCGTATGTCGTCGCAATAACGATAATTATTTATTTAATATGGCTTATTTGCATTTTAAATAAAAAGATTGGGTCGCATTTTTCGGACATTGCACACAAAAATAAATTTAAGTAAAAATAATTTATATAGAGCTATCGAATTAAATATATATGTAAAATTATATATATATTTAGGTATTTTCTACACCTACTACAATTTATAGTAAATATAAATCTTAAAAAATTGTAAAAAATTAAATGTATTATAATTTTCAAAGTGCAAAGTTTTTAAATTTTATCCGCATTAATACTTTGACCATTATAATATATTATGGTTTCCTATACATCTTATTTTTATTATATATTGTATATTATTTTATATGTTTTATATTTATATGTATTAAAACAGATCTCTCTTTCATATTTACTCGAAATGTTAATTTCGATATACGCTTTACTTTCCGCGTTGCATGATTATGCAGATTATAAATTGTATTGCAAGAGATTTAACTTAGCGGACAACTCGTTCTGCACTTGAACATATACGATTTATATAATGCATTCATAAGTAACAAATTACAAATTTTTAAATCTGCTTTTCTAAAAACTTTCTGCAGCGCGCGTTCACATTTTGTTAAACTTCTCAACCGGAAATATGTGGGTACAATACATCCATGCGTTAAAATACCGGTGGTATTGTACGACCAAAATTCATTTAATTTGAACATTAACATTACATACATGCGTATACGTGATGTAATCAAAGTCATCTGGGGTAGATAACTGAGCAGCTTGAAAATTTCATGGGACAATAAGTAATTGTGAGAAAACAAAATCGGGATACGCACAAAGTATCTTATCGCGCAAATGGAAATTTCTCGAGATAGCTGAAAAGCAGCTTTTAAAACATAATTCCACTACATACAGAAGTGATATCCAAAATCGATATTCGATTACAATGTGTTTCTTCTTGCGCAACGACCTATGTTTTTCGCATACTTCTCATTTATTAAGATGTTTCACTAATGACTAATTAATGCAAAAAATAATTACGATCGGATATTGTTACTGGAGACTGAACGTCGATGAAGCTATGATAATCGATATCTCTTTTCTTATATGTAGAACCTCTCTTACTTAATTATTGGCTCACTGATTATATAACAAATTCAATTATTTTTTCTTGAACGCTGGCAGGTAAATATGATATAAGTGCTGCGAAGAGAATCCACGAGCAAAAATAATTGGTGAGCAAAAATACGATTTTACCGTCTTCTCATCGGTACGCGTAAATTATTTATGTTCTTTAAAAGCCTATACAGCACGTACCGAGTAAAAAGATGGGCAATTATTGTCCTGGAAAGCTCAACAAGTAAATTGCCGTTAATCAAGGTTGAGAAGTGCGGGATATTCCTGAAATATATTCCTCTACATTATTTTTATCTGCTTACGTCGCGAAGCTTTAGAATTTTTAGATGATTTAGTCTTTTTTCAAGAGAAACAGAATGTTTTATTCTCATTAACAGTAATAATAGAAGTTCTTGATATTTAAATAAAAATATATATCATCAAAGGATTTATTTTAAAATAAAATATTTAACATATACATACTTCCTTGCAAAGTATTTAATAACGAAGATATTCCAAAGAAATATTACTTTTTAATTTGAAATTATTATTTAAACTATTCATTATTCTGTACACAAATTTTTTTTAAATTATATTTTAATTTATACTTTTAATGAAATCTTTATTGTAGTTTTAATTAGCTATTCAACGAAAATTCAATAAAATTCAATAAAATTCAATAAAAACTGAAAAAAAAATCTGATTCTAGAGATGATAAAGAACTTGTTTTTGAATTTGTCGTAATTAACATGCAGAGTGTTTACAGAGACGCTTTGAGACAAAACAAGCCCATGCAAAATACGTTGTGCTGTCTAAGAAACTGATGGCAAGAACGAGACACGCTTTCATGCTTATAATAAACTTTGAACTATCTATGTTAGTTTGCATTAGATTTTAGGAATATTTATAACTTTACTTTTATATATAATTTGACGTCTATATTTTTATGTATTTGTATATATATTCTAATTTTTTAAAATGTATTTCATATCGTGCAATAAAGATATATATTCAATTTTATTCTGAATTCTGACGAGAATTATACATCGTCTAAAATAGGCTTCATAAAGCAATTACGCATCGGCGTGTATTGCATTCGTGTACGTTTAACATTGAGCACGCGAAAACGATTAAACGGATTTACCTCGGTCAATGCGGTATGAGTAATCAACGGATTATACGCTATAATTCACGCCTGTAGAAACGACAAATAGAATTGGATTCGACAACTTGGGTTCCGTCGTACGTTAGAAATTGTCGTGACATAAACCGCAATAAATAATAACATAAATCGGATCTCTCCATCTCCAGTCATTAAAACAGAATTTCAAATTTATTTGTTTAATAGAAGTATTCGATATGAAAGATATTATATTTTATATATAATATATATTATAATGAATTAAATATTTTTTAGAAGACGTTTTTAGATTTGCTATATTTCCATTTGTGTGTTTTTAAATATTTATATTTTTTGTTTAAAATATAATTCTCTAACTGTATTTTTCAAATTTATATTCCTAAATATAATTCCTATTTTATTATTTAATAAATAATCCAAGACACAATTAAAATATATAAATAATATTTTATTTGTCTAAAGAGAAAAAGATAATTATATAAGATACAGACTACAAAAGTTACAGCACAATCTATATTTATGAAAATTTCATAATATGAAGAATAAACTACAAATGCAGTTTGCATTTATTACGTTTTCAGTTTATTATTATAGAAAAAGAATTTATTTTTCTCAGATATTTATTTTTTCTTTCAGTTTAATATTTTTGAAATTAATTCATTTAAATGAATATATATAATAATTCAACAATCTTAATATTCAGACCATAATCGCGCTATTTAAAATAATGTATTTAATATTTTTGTTCCTTAGGTAAGATAATAGAGAAATCAAACTCTTGGCAATCTGCAATAAGTTTTTCAAGTGTTCTAATCAAAGATTTGTGTTTAAGCAAGCACTTAATTTCTACGAGAATATAAATTGTTTCCATTTTTTTAATTGTTTATAGTCTTCATGATACCCAAATGTTTATCGATGTTTAACTCAAAAATTTGAATTATATTGGTATTTCTTTTAATTGATATACATGTTATTTGTTTATTTACGAAATTTATTTATAATTTTTATTTATAATTAGCCTTCAGCAATTTGCAACTTTATTGAATATTTCTGTGAAAATAAGAGATATATTATATCTCATATTATAATTTCATATTTTATAAATAAAAGACAGAATTATAGCAAAAATATAAGAATTAGCAAAAATATAAGATATACTGAAAACTTCTGAGCAATAGTATATATAACATATATATGATATATAAAAATATATATAAAGTTACATTACAATATTTTTGTTATCTTTTTGCAATTCTCCTTTCTTTCTGCTTGCAGAAAGAAAAAAATATTATATCAGTGCATGATTTATTTACAATGTATATAATCTTTATTTTTCTGTTAAGAACATCATGCGTATTTTCTTCTTTAGATGAATCGTAACATTACTTGTAAATTAAAATTCAAAAATTAAACTTCTATCGACAAGGGAATGAAAGTTATATTAGTGTGTTAATGGAATTTTCATTCTCGGTAAATAAAACGAAATATGTTTACATGCGTTTCTGCTGTGCGACAAAATCAAATTAAAAATGAAAATGGAAGAAGCAATAACGTCGTACTTTTCCACGGCAAAGAAACGTTGAAATGGATCGTTCGGTTTTGAAATAGGCGTGGTTTATTATTCAAACACAGTTACCTATAATGGATCTATGTTTGAATTTTACGGTCGCAGATTACAGTGTCATATACGGACTTCTTGCTTTGCGGTTATGCGTGCTTTAATGGAGGTTGTCTCTAAATTAATACACCGTTCGGAACAGAGATCGCGATGCTTGCGCGGATACCCTCATCGTGAGTGGGGTGATAGATTGTGGTAATACACGAGTTTGCGTGGAAATGATAATTCGGTATGGAAATGTCACGTTCATGCGACACTTGCGAAGCGTGTGATCCAATTTAATATTTTACGCCAAAAATTAACGTTTACATATGCACTTAATTCCACAACGTTGTTCACGTGCACGTGAATATGGTCGTTTCACGATGCGGAGGCGATCCTCTCTTCTAAGTAGAATTTATAATTCAATGAATTATTCAGAAAGCGCAGTGTCGATGCTGATAGTTTACTTTTTTCTCTTGCTTCTTGTCTTGTCACTTGAGCCGTTGCATGACATAAATAATAACGTAGCTAACTAGATATCGACATAGAAATATAGCTCGTTAATATTATAACCTCGATGATATCGATAGCATTGACCCTTTGAGAATCGAGAGCGTAAAGAGGTGCACCTTGACTCACAGTCTCGAATGAGCTAAAAAATTTGGTTGATAAAATTTCATTAAGCTAACGATGAAAGATTTTTATCAAACTCCCTTTTGATCACAAAATTACATAGTGCTATAATATCAGCTATGAAATTTGATAAATTTTTCCAATATAAATAAAGTAATTTTCTCAAACTGTTTCAGCGTGATATTAAATAATTTATTCAAGCGAGATTAATATATTTTTTAATAAAAAATGAAAAATCATTATACATATATATGTCTACAAATTTCTTTGTTGTTAAATATTTAATTTTTTGAAAGTAAAGTTTAATTAATGGATTACTCCCACATTTACTAACACATTTACTGTTAGCTTCTATTATTATCTTCCTGTCAATATTTGATACTTAAATATAAGAATAGCGACAGCATTTTAATTAAAAAAATGTAATTATTAAAAGTACAAAAAATTTAAAAAAAGTTATAATTAATGATTATGCGAATCATATGTTTTTACAATTTTAGATTTTCCGAAAATAATAGACTTAAAAATAATAATAAGCATTTATAGGCTATATCAAAAATAAATATCGTAATGTTGTTCCATTATATATTTTAATAAGAAACACAAATTCATTAAGCAACTCGAAATGCACATTTCATTTGGATAACTCTTTACAACGGACACGAGAAAATGATTTAACGAAATATTTTGCATAATAAAATTATTATGACATCGCTCGAAAAGCTACGTTTCTATTATAAATAATGTCTCTTGAGTAAGCTATGTTATTTAACCGCAAAACCCATACTTGGCTTGATTGTTATCATAGTGGTTTTGAATTTATCTTCCCTCACACATTTTCGTCAAATGTTCGCATGTTCAAACGACACATGGGGGAATTATATCAGCGACAAACGTAGTATATATTCTAGCATAGTCGAGGCTTCTGCAAAGTGCAAGTCTTAGTGAAACAAAACTACCATTGCAACGTGTTGTGTCATGCTACAACGTTTGAATTATAAAATACTAGTGTGACGATCTTTTTCATCTTTGCAATGTAAAAAAAAAGAAAGAAGGAAACCTATTCTTTACCAAATCGATTAGATAACGCTTGGCACATATGCGCGTTCTCGGCCACACACGTCCGAAGCAAAATACGTTTACGTCCGCAAAATCGACCAGAGGCATCAAATCACATGTAGAATCGTTTATTTGATTGCAGAGAAAAGAGGAGAGCATTATGTATGCCAAATATTGCGCAGCTTTTATTCTTGTCGTCGTGATAGTCGGTCTCGTGGACGCTACCGAAAATTACATGGATTACGGAGGTAAGTTATCATATTATTCCACAAATTATTTATTGTTTACTTGAAAAGATGTTAACACATGCAGAATAATCGTGTGCTTTTATTAGTTTTCTTAAAATAAAGTTATTTATTTTTTTATATGATTGAAGTAAATTTAATTTTTGAACGGAATTTCTCGCATGAAATGCAGGAGATCCGGGTTCAAATCCCGAAATAATATTTTTCATAAAAAATTATTTATAGTTTTTATGATAATAATATTAAATTACTTATCAATTTGATTTGTGACATTACTACTCCAGTTTCAATTTAAGATCTGTGTTCGAAGACCTATGTTTGAGACAGGTAATCAGCGAATAATTTACTTAAATTGGAAATTGTATAAATTCAAAAAAATATATTATTAGACATGCACAAAGAATCGCCTTGATTGAATATGGCTTTTTTCATTCCTGTGTTTAATTTCTGGAAAATTGTTGAAATTGATACGGGATTTATATTGCATTGAATTGTGTAACTCTTGTAGCGAATTCGATTGAACGTACTAGTGCGGACCGATGCATATTAAAACCTTTGTACACTGATTTAATCTGAATGCAAAAGTAAAATGTAAACATTTTGAATTATAAAATACATATTTTACCTAAAAGCGCAATAAAGTATATTGAATATTTCACCGTTTACTTGGTTTTTATGTTTATAATAAACATTTATATAAAACTTCCACGAGTACTTTCTACACGCAGAAAAATACATCGTATTGCTAAGAAAAATGATTACTTAATTTATTTTCTTCCTTTTAAGTGATGATTATCTTTTGACAAAGAATGTTTTTTTATAATAATTTTTAAATATACTTATTACAAAATTTTTGGAAAAGCTCATTATTATGTACTCAAAACAGGAATTAATTTTTTTTTAAAGAATATTATAAAATTGATTGGAAAAACACACACTCTCTCTCTCTTCTTCTTCTTCTTCTTCTTAATAAATAAATCGAATTTTTTTTAATTTAATAAACTGTATTAAAATATTTATTATAGGATACTAGGATATATATTTACTAGAATATATATTTACTAGGATTTAGAATATGTTTTAAATAAATTTCTATAACTTCTTAAGAAGTATCGCGCGCATGTCGGTTTTGTGCAACTGGAGAGTGTATTGTTACTAATCATACTAAATTATAATATATTTATAATGAAATATAGCATGGGGTATTAGATATACCCACATATGATCTATATTGATTTTTCACCTGGTTCGCAAAAGATTAATGCTTGTGATAAACTTGATAGATTTGCAGATATACTGAACTTTTGAAATACTTAAACCAAGTAATTATTACTAGCATAGAATATTTAGTATTTTCGTATTTTTCTGTGTGTATACAGAAGCTACGTCCCCCCCCCCCCATAGTTGAGTTATCTCCATTTCCAAATCCATTATTAGAACGTCAATGTTTTGCGAATATCACAATCCACTTCATTAGAATGAGAAACAGTCCGATACTGAAATGCATATCTCTATGTCAATTTGTACGACGGCTTTATATGCATCAGTTCGCAGTGAGTGCATCTGATCAATTTCGCTATTAAACTTGTACCATTTCTGAAATAAGCTTCTTATTCTATACTCTCTTATACTCTCTCTCTCTCTATATATATATTCTTATATTTCTTTAAACAACAATAATAAGCTTCTATTTCTTCAAAGCTTATCATTATGATATTTCTCGTTCTTTCGACGTTAAATTTGTGTTTTACCTAGCTATCCTCTCGCGCCATAAGTCTCATTAAAGTTTCACTCTTACTTGACATGATAACACGTTTTTGTATTCCATTACCGGTAATACCGCATATCAACGAGGCCGTTGCCAGCATGTCTCCTATTATAATAATTAATGATCGCAAAGGATGGCTATTATTAAACGTTCGCTTCTAAACTGTAGCAAAAAATGTAAGTCTAATTAAACTTTCTATCGTATTTCTTGCATTTGTTAATATAATGGTTTTATCTTATTATGTTATACGTGTTGTGTGATTGCAATTATTTTCACGCGTATCTATAGATTAATTTTTTTAGCGTAATTCAAAAATAATGTTTAATAGTTTTATATTATAAAATATATGATTTTTTGTTTTTTTACATATTTTTAATAACAGGTTATTTCTCTGTTCGTATATGTAGTAAATTTTTTTAGGTAAAATGTTAAAATATATAAATATTAATTAGTTTTAGAGTTATTTAAGATTAAAAAAGCGTTCATTTCTTGTAAAATTTTAGACAGACTTTAAACAAGAATTAATTTCTTTTCAATAAAAAAATAATAGAATAATAGAATAGAATAAAATAAATAATTTCACGACTTTTGCTTCAAATATGTTACAGAAAGTTTATTATTTTTATCACAAATTAAAAGCATCATGTTCTTAAAACGTACAGATATTTACCATCCAATACTATTAATAATTGAATTAAGCAATTTAGTTAGAGAAAATTTAAATGATAAGCCTAAAAAAATAAACGAGTCCTATTCTGGGAAAAAATAAAGTTTAAATATTCTGATAATGTTTAAGAAAAAAGAAATACAACACCGTTATTAATGAGAACTAAAATTATTTTTAAACATGGAATCGGTGTACTCACGGATATTCCCTCGTATGAGCTAATGAAGATAATATTACAGTGCAATGAATAATTACAGCGCTTGATACGAAACGCAGTTGATCCAGGATGATTAGGAATTATGTATTTCATCGCAAGATATAAACTCATCATAAATCCGGTCGTATTGATCGTCCTACGTGTCACTTTCATCGTTGCCCCTAATCACGCGTACGATCGGTCAAATCTCTGTCCATTCAATAATCGTTTATAAGAGGATCGTGTCCTATCATACGGTCTCTCTTTTCCTCTCTCTCCGAGCAATGTCAAAATGACCTCATCACAACATCGCTTTCGCGCGAATTATCTGTTAGGGTCCTTTTGCCATAAGCGTTTTATCAATATACCTACGTTCCACTCGTGCACGAACAAATTCCGGTACATGGTTTTCCCGCAGACCGCAAAAGCGTTCAGTCAAGCATCACAAATATCAGCTCCACTTGTCGTAGTTGATACATATTCCAATATAATCTTTTTTTCTCTTTATGGAAGATTTAATTTTTTTTCAGAATGTCCTCGTAATTTTGATATTAAATTATCTGAAGCTGCATGGTAGTGTTAGAAAAGCCATTAGCGGAGCAAACAGCGAATATTTAGCTTCATAGAGATAAAATTTAATATAACATAGTCCGCATTATAACGTGAAAAGCGATACAGCGCGTTATGATAGTCAACAGGTGCATCGGACAACCCCATCTACTTTTAAACTCGCGCTTCGTTAATTTTGCTTCTCTCATAAAACAAATAATTCGCATTTGAGATAAAGATCAAATCATTGCAATTGCAGTATATCATTATTTTTGTATCTGATATTTTATGATTTTTAATGCACAAAACTAGGTTTATCGATTGTAACACGAGCTGCGGTTTTGAATAAAAAAAAACCACACCAATACATGTTTCACATCATCGCGCGTCCTCGAATTTTACCACGCAAGTTTTTCATAGAGTTGAAAGGTGCCTATTCAATCGGAAAATGGTTGCCTGCTTGCCTTTGTGCGATATACACGCGGGAAAATTCTATCGTCTGTATTCTTACAAGGTCGACATGTACCTATTACTCTGTTACAACAAAAAAAGATCGGGTTTTTATTGGTGAACTGGTTAAGTTTATTAATATCGTTATTTGAAAATAATCAAAGACATATGTGAACAAACATTCGTTTCGGAGCTTTTTCATTTTCAGCATCCCCATAAATACATTTTTCTAGTAAATTGCGTGTTGTTAAAATGTTTGGTTTTAATAATAACAATAAAATGCAATGATAAATAATACAAACTCCTTTTTAATTTATTTTGTATGTATATTTTATGAATAGAATTTATTACGCTTCAGCATATATAGAAGAAGGGGACTTGGTTTATATATCTTAATCCATTCACACCTTTATATCTTATATCCGTACGTTATGACACAGATATTACTGTATATTATTATTAAATAATTATCACTTTATTACTATCTTGCTATCTCTGGTTTAACCACCTACTCTATGCATGTGATCCTTTATATTCTTTTATTTTTTTTCTTTACAGTTTATCCGCTTTATCCTGTATCTAATTCTAATATTATGGATTCAACTAAATTTACACTAAATCTAATATCTATAGCTCTATCATAGCCTTATCATAACCTATAATTATTGCATATTTTTTTATCATTATCACTCATTATTTCTCTTCTCTTATTTTCTTTCCACCATTCGCTAAATTACATCATCTCTACCATTAATTTTCTTTTTGTATTTCCTCTAGATCCTCTCACTAGAAATCATATCCTTTCTTTCCTCCCTTCTTTTTTTAACTTCATTTCTCTTTTTCTTAATTTCTTTATTATTTCCCATTTTACCTCGCCTAAATCTTTATCGTACAACCTTCTTCAAATCCTTTTACTTTCCTCTCCTAATTTAGTATCTTTCTCTCATCTCCGGACACTTTTTAATGTAGTGCTGTGTAAATTATCTTTTTCTCTACCACAGAATACACAGTTCTTTCTATGCTCTACCAATTAATTATTTATTGTCTTCCTCCAAATTTCTCACATCTTAATTTAAACAAAGTTCTCAATTCATCTCCTTTTTTCCATTCTCCCAAGTTTTCTTTGAACTTCTGATACGACGGAATCCTGCTATATTTATCTTTAACTTCTTATATCTTTCATTGTACTTCTCTCCTTATTTATTAACTGATCTTCAAAACCTTCTTCTCCGTATATCACATCTCTTGTCCCCATCCATTTCTATTGTAATACCTCGCCCTTTCATGTCCATATAAATTCTCTCAACTATTTCTTATCTTTTCTTCCCAATACGCGCGTCAAATTTCCTACCGTTCCTGATTTTATTTTTTGTTCAAATTTTCTTGCTCATATTCCCCAACCTACTTTTATCCATAACTAATTCTCTCATAATTATATATTTTGAAATCCAAATTGAAAATCCATTTTATACAATTCATTATAATCTTTCCTAATTTCTCTTTCTTCTCCCATCCCCATATTTCTATTCCATAAGCCATAACACTTTTGTACCAAAAATCTAAATAAAATTCACCTTCTCCTGAAATTATTTTTACACATCCTCTGATCTAAAACCTTTCTTGCTATCAGCTTACCTTTTCTATCTTTAATATGATCTTTATAGTTACCCCACTTGTTCAAAGTAATAGCCTTATAGATACTTAATTTCCTACTTAAACTTACTGCCTGCACCTCCTCTATCTACTTTTTACCCCATTTTCATTTTTCAATTTTTTCTCTTCCTCTCCTATTATAAACTAACACCTTAGTTTTATCTATACAGAGTTCAAGTTTTCTTTCCTCTAAAAATCTTTTAAAAGTTCCCATCATATCCTGCAGGACTTCTCTATTTTTTGCTAATAAAACTGTCACCCACATTCGCGAGATTCTAGATCCTTTGTTCTTTTATATCTATTCCCCGATATTTACGGTGACCATATTTTCTTAAAAATAAAAAAAATAAAGGATAAATCCGAAAATTTTAGGGTTTTGTTCGTAAATGTTTTCAAATCAGTTTGTGACAAAGAATTTATGCATTATAAAATTAAGGTAATGCACAGTTTTCTAATAGTTTGAAACTGGTTCGAACGAAACTGTATTGGAACAAACCTTTGATCTAAAATAATAAATAAAAGATTTGAAATAATAAAAATAAAAACAACTAGTTTAAATAAATTTTAATTAAAAAATTAATAAATATAATTAATAAAAACAAATTGTATTTATATGCATCTAACTATAAAATATTTTTCGTAAAATTTTCTTCATTAATATAATATTAGATATAATATTAGATATAATATTAATATAATATTAACTAGTTCGAAAAGAATTTCCCGTAATATCAAAATAAAGAACAGTAAAGGACAATATTGAAAAATAAAGAACAATATTGAGTTTTAAAACAATAAATAAATTTAAGGACAACTATCTAAAATAAAGGACGTACGATTACCGATGCTCCTATCTCTTAATTTTTTTCATCTATAAAACTTTCTGTATTTCCTAGCCTCATTCTTACTATTACTTCCATTCCCTCATAGGTCCTCTTAATTCTTCTAATCAAACTCTCGCGTTTATTTCTTTCTTTCTCAAGCAGTCCTGTAACATGTTTTTGTCTATCTTATCAAAGGCTTTCAGATCCACAAACATCATACATACCTTCCCGATTTCTCCTTCTCTGTTTCCTTCCCTCTGTAATACTCTGTATGATGTGTAGCAGCACGAAGACATTATCAATTATCAAACTTTCTCTTCTGGAACCTGTTTGAATTTCTGGGATCATTTTTTTTTCTTCTACCTCCCTCTCTAATCTATTTTTCAACACTTCCGCATATAATTTGTACGCAGTGCATAGCAATGATATTCTTGATTCTTTTATAATTCGTTACTTTTTCTTGATCTCGTCTCTTATATAGAGACACTACTATGCTTTTCTTCCAGTCTTCCGGAATCCTGCCTCTTCTCCACACCAACTTCATCAAAGATACCAGCTTCATCCAAAAACTTTTTCCCGTATATTTCCATGCTTCTGATGGTATCCCATCGGTGCCAGCCGCTTTCTTAAGCTTCATTTTTCTTAATATTTTCCTTATCTCTTCTTCCTCCAGCTCTTCATCCCCCATCTCTGTGCTTCCATTCTTAACTTCTGTTTCCTCTCTTTCTACCTCCGCGCCATCCAGCAGATTTTTGAAATAGTTTCTCCATTCTTCTTTATTTATACTATTTTCAATCTGCATCCTTCTGCCTCTCTTCTTATTAATATATTTTTATATATCTACCTCTCTTTCAGGTTCCTTAATTCCTCCTTCTCCTCTCTTTTTCTCTTTGCTTATTCTCCAGTACCTTCCTTTTCTTCTCTTTTGTAAATTTTCCTTTTCTACCTTTTCTCTCTTCCATTTCCAATACATCTTCTTAACTTCTCTCTTCTTTTTAGTACGGCTCCTGTCCTACTACTAGTCCTTGTGTTTTAATTTCGTTTTCTTCCTTTTTATTTTTTTCTTCACCATTTCTTCATAAACAATTTGTTTAATTTCTTCCCAACTTTCTTCTATATTCTTTTCTTTCTGTGTTCCTTTTTCTCCGTTTCCTTTTTGAATCTCTTAATCATTCCACATTATTATTTCTTCCTCTCACTCCTGTTCAGCCTCTGTGATCAGATTATTCTCTTCTTTCTCATGCTCCTTGATCTTCAGATACAAAGGCAAGTGATCCGAGTCCACTCTTATATCAACCTTAAAATCTGTAATCCTATCATTTACATCTTCATTAATCATTAAGTAATCTATAATCAAATTACCTCTCGCTCCTGTACATGTATATTCATCCTCCCAGTAATCTAACATTCTTCAAAACATATAAATTTTTTTAAAGAAAGGAAATTTCTTTAAAGAAAGGAAATTTCTTTAAAGATAAAAAACTTGATTATCCCATTTTACAAAGCTCCTATCTCTATATTTTCTATAGTTTTATTTTTGTTATATCTCTCCACACTTTCTTCCTCCATTTCCATTCCTCCCAACTCTCCTATTCTTATATTAAAATCCTACTTATGATTATATTTCCTTCTTTTTCCTTTTCTTCATAAATTCCTTCAACTTTTCCTCTAAATTCTTTCTTCCTTGCGTTCTCCATAAACAAAGACAATCCTTATTCTTTCTTTATTCATTATTAAATTCATAATGTATATATTTTATATAAATAAAAATATGTGAAGATGTAAAATACAAATACATACGTAGAAAATAACGTCCTTGTCATGCGCTATAACTGACAATAATCGAGCTTTTATATAGCTTTCATAGTTGTCAAAAATATCTGTTATTCAAAGAACATCTGTTATCTATAAATCTTATAGAAACACAATGTATCTTTATTTTTTGAAAAAAAATTGATACCGATACTGAAAGCGTTAATAATTCTGAATACGTGCACATCAGATATAAATATGTATATGTATTACGTATATGATAAATGACACGTCAGATAACATCGCCATCGCTGATAGAATATGTGTATTTTTTCTGTTTTTTTTTTTATAGGACGACTATATGGATGAATAAAAGTGAATAATCGTTATAACGCGCGTTATATACGATAGTAACCGTATAAACGCCCACCAATTCGTATGACCCTACGTGCCCATACGAAGAACGCTACTTATCGTAAAGCGGTTTAATACCGCATAAAACGGACGTACTTGTAAAACGTCATACTTTCTCTCTATTTTCCCGTAAAACTGGCCGCGCGCATCACACACGCGTCTGATTTACATTCTTTTGAAAATAAGATGCGGCATATGTGAATCTATATAATAAGATAAGAGAGTTGCGCTTGACATACAGCGCTCGGAAATTAACTTTTAAACAATGCTGAAAGATAATTTCTTGTTTGGATCGTAAGACAAAGTGGCAACTATTGATCGAAAACTTGTCGATAATATGACAACAGATTTCATTGACGCTTTTAAAATGTGTGCCATTAATTCTCAAGTAGTAAGTTTCTGGTTCGTTGGCGCTTTAGGAGGATCAAAAAACTATTCCAAGATTCGTTCGCAATAGGAATCGTTAATATTTGACAATAGTTAAAATGCGATGAATATTTATAAGGTAATTATACAAATCGATGCACATCAAAGCAAAATTACTTAATCTTATAATATTTTATCTTATAATACAGAGGAAGAATTCGTTCTCTGCAATTGTGTCGATACCAATACATAAAACAAAAAAAATAAAAGAAATGATGTCTTTCCTGCTGTTCGTTAAATCCTCTTTTCCATGGAATATCAACCTTTAATCCTGTACACATGTTAATCCTATATACACATGTTTAATCCTGTATACACGGAGTTATACAGGAAAAAAACTATTCAACATTTATGTGGTAGATACACATTACACTGAATAAAAAAATCTTAGTGAAAATAGGTCAAAAGTTTAACTATTTCTCAGATGTAAACATACAATTTTATTACTTATTATTTTATTATTGCTATTATAATTTTATTACTTATTGATAAACAATTTTGTATATTAGTATTAAGTCATAACTGACTTTTTGTCTTCTATATGTTGCATACGATCTGAAAAGAGAGAAATTGAGATAAGTAGCACTGTGTATGATAGTCTATTAAGCTAAGATAGTCTAATTAGCTAGTTGATGTCAACTTACTAATTCTTGAAATTTTTAATTACACATCTACGGTGAATGAGAAACAACATTTAAAACGCGATTTGTTAATACTGAGGTAAATCTTCATATTGCGACAGATAGAAATCAATAAGTCAGTTATGATACCAACATATATAAATATAACATATAAAAATGTATGTATCTTAGAAACGGTTGAGCTTTCAACTATGTCCACTAAAACTTCTTTACTCAATATGGTGTGTATTGTATAAGTGCCGAATGATTTTTTTAACATTCTGTATATGAATCTATACTCTTTATGTTTACAGAAGAAATGGCGGAAAAAGCACCCGCAGAGAATATCCATGAGCTGTATAAGCTCTTGCTACAACGCAATGCGCTCGACAACGTCGGCTTCGGCGGCATCCCGCTGGAACACTTGATGATTCGAAAGTCGCAGCGATCGCCATCGCTACGTCTTCGATTTGGTCGTTCTGGGCAACACATCTCCGTAAGTTCTCATTGTGTTTTTGCATCGATGATGTAAATAGAATAATCCTTAAAAGGCTTAAGCAAAAAAGTTCATAAAATATTACATTCATTTAATTATATACAATGAGTGCAAGAAGTATTCGTATAGCGAAAATTATTATTTTAAAACAAACTTATTTTTAAAAAGTAAACATTATTCAGAAAGAAATGAATTGATTAAAAAATAAATAATATCCAGTGAGAAATTAAGTTGATGTCAAATCGATATCGATCCGATAATTTCGACGATAATAATATATTCATAATTGAAGACGGCAAAGAGACGAGTAAATATGATATTTAAATAGATTAAGTAGATCCTTTTTAACTTTTTGCACAGCCTTGTTTAATACGTTCGAATCATCTACGAAAAAAAGAACATCAAAAAGAGTTCTATCGACTTTTACAGATTATGAGCTTGTTCTTTAATCAATTCTCCATCGAAAAAAACAAATTAATTGAAATATATCCATTTTAACAGAAGTTACGGTAATAAATATGAATGGGGTCCCAGTGTATATTCAAAGTGTGTACAGCTAGAGCTAATAACATTATTTGAACTACTTATTAGACTGATCTAACAAACTGCACATTATAAAAATCATTGTAATTTAATTGTATAAGCTTCAACATACCTTTTCGTAGCAAAGTTACAAAATTGAGATGATTGATCTGTTCTTTTTAACTAAAGTTGTTGCACGAAGTTCATCTTTCTTCCTTTTTTCTTCACGTTGGAAAGAAAAGATGAACCGCGCAAGAAGTTCAGCTATAAAAAGAACATGATATTATATACGACACCAAACTCTCTCATGCACTTATGAGTTCTGCGTTTGTATGATCGACCGACCATGAATCATGATATGAATCATGATAGAAAAGTATTGTTTGGTAAGAAATAAGGAACAACAAGAGAAAAATATTAGGATGCTCCAGGATTCGAACCGAGGCCTGGTTTTTTCCTATTTGTAAACTTCCGGTAGACTTCCGTCCTGTCACCGAGCCACACAGCCCTGACGCTGATAACTTCTCCGTTGTACCTATTTCCTCTTTTTTACTGTTTTCGTTGCAGAAGAAACGCGCGGAAACTAACATCATAAAACAAAAAATTAACAATTCATTCGATTCGCCCTGTAATTCGATTCACCCGATGATCATGGAATTTTTTTCAAAGGAGAGAGATTTTATCAATCCAGAGATGCACCAATGCGGAATGAGGACCAAAAAAAGGGAGAATTTTGCTATTGTATTGAAAAGAACGTCACTGTATCAATTTTGTTGTTGTGACACTTACAACAATTTTTAACGTTAATAATTTCATTTGAATATTTTTACAGTTTTTTAATGTCTTCGTAATTCGTATCTCATTCTGAAGAAAAAAAATGTTACGTTTTGCATATCATATAACTTTTATTTATTTTTTTAAAGACATTTTTTTTAAAAATGGACAATACACAGTTGCTACAAGTAAATTTTTTAATTCTTTAATATTGTCATTATATGCTCAAACTAAAAGCAGTTAAAAATTACTTATTTGGTCAGAAGAAAAAAATATCTTATGTAAAAGTAAAAAACTCACACAAAGTCAAAAGTGTATGTTTTTTACAATTAAAAATGAAAAAGACAAATTCGATAGAATACATCATTAATTGGCCAATTCAAAACAAAATATTTTCATTAGTAAAACAGTGAAAAATTATTAGATATCTACTGATGTGAATGGATGTGTGCTAACGGGACTCTCTCAAAACGAAATAATTAATAAAAAATTTCGGGTAAGAGTTGAATCCCCTAAAACCTCCCCCTGGATAAGCCTATAGATTCGTCTCTACCCTAAGTATTTTTGCATTAATATTGATTTCATTTCAAGATGTGTACTTTAAAATGTCATATTTTTTAAAAAGTATTAAATCCAAAAAAGTTTACTTTAAGTAAATATCAGAATATAATCCTATTTATAATATTTTGTCTATTATAATACATGCCTCGTAATATAAAAAAGTATTTAAAGGATGAAAAAGTATATAAGTTATATACATTAAAGTACATAACTAAAATACATAGGTACATATATCAAAACAGTGTGTGATATTATAAAATTATATAATAATTACCCTGGTAACAAGATGTCTAAAATGACGTCTTTTGACATCAAAATTACGTAGCTTGCTACCAGTATAAGCTTCATAAGTTTCATATAAATGAAATTCTATTTTCACTGTGATGAGAATTTACAAATTGTTTATAATAAGCTTATAATTTTATATAATTTTAACATTATAAAAAGTACAGATATTATTTACAAAAAAATTCTGATTATTTTTTTTTCTATGTTTAATAGACATCTTGTTTACAGATCTATTGTATATATATATATATATATATATATATATAAAACAATACGTGTTTTTTATTATGTGGAACGCAAGAAAACATCTATGCTACATTTAGATCTTAATTCTAAAGTAGCTAGGTAACTCTAATAATATAAAAGTTTTCATTGCCCTTATTTATCGTTAAACGTCCGCGGAAATTTATATAAATGTCGAACGTTGTACTCGAATGTTGTGCTTTAACGATTTATTTGAGTTGATTAATTAATGAGCTAATGAATTCGCACAATTTATTAAACCATTCAAATAATCTTTAATATTAAACTGATTAAAATAAATAAATTATATTACATTCTTTGTCTTACATATTCACTAATTTTAACATTTATATATTACATGCGTTTTATAATTATAACTCACGCAGCCACTTATTAGATAAAGACAATTGGATATAAAACGCGATACAATCAATTATATAAAAAAGATATGCTAAGATAAAGAGATGAAAGGACTTTGATAATTAATGCGTACTTAGTACATTTTCGTGTCATCGAAAATTCTCTTCGAAATGGATATTCTTGTTTCGCATAAATTACTTCTGTTTCTGGAATGCGCGCAGTTTAATTCATAATGCTTTTCGAGTCCCCTTTGCATTCTATTCTTAATGTGCCGCGAGTATTCCCTGGGAAATTAATTTTCTCGTAATTAGTGAGAGTGACGCAGCTTTTGCAAACTGAAGTGTGGTCGCGACGTGCATGCTGGTTGTCTCGTAGGACAATAGGGATAGGGATTATATTTAACATGGTATTAATTAGAAAAATGTCCATCTAACGAATATTTGGAATATTAAAACTTAACGAAGAATTGAATTACAGAATCTAATTGCTATAGGTAGAATATCAATTAATATCAGTTAATAAATAAGTGGCATTAGCCATAAATAACAATGCTTCATATGCATCACATGAAAATTACGTTGAAACTTAAAAATACATGTAATGTGTTGTAGATTTACTCTTTTTTCAATCGTGTCTTTTTTCTATCTTTCATCTATCTTTCATTTTAGAATAAATTTAAGATGTGTTATCCATAACAAAGATTTAATTCAACACCGCATATTTTCACCACATTATTTTTATGTACATACATTATTTTTCTCATTTATCCATTTTACAGTATTTTAAGAGGTCAATTTGTAATTCCCGCTTTTGCATAATAAATTTACAAGGTTCTTGGTTTTTAATTTCCCCCGGAGAACTAAAGCGTATTTCAATTTGCACAAATTTCACTTCTCAGCATTTATATATATTTTATAACATTCGTAACATTAATTGTCTAAATATTAACGTGTATATGTTAAAATATCTCAGACCTACTAAACTCGTTCAAAGAGAACTGTTATAAGAGTTACGAGAAACGCTGGCACATTTTGCGATTTCACATGCAAATTAATTCATACATTTATCATCTTTTTTTTTTTAATAAAAATGCCAAGGCAAATATTCAACGAAATAAATTCATTTCGACTTAATACATGTACTTTAATGTAGGAAATGAGCAAACTACATTTTGAAGTTACACACGATGTCTACACACGAACGTACCTATATGTTTGCCGAAAGTAGATATGCTTGGCTTGCTTTTATCACATACATAAGTATTTGAATAGAGGAATGTAATTTTACTTCATAAAGATCTGTGAAAGAATGCGTGTTTTAATAAATCAATTTTATTCCTTCTTTCATTTTGATTTCAATTTTTATTATATTACATTCAGAAATTATGCAAAAGACGCGTGCGACGCGAACAATACATGAAACATTACGAAGATATGTGCTCCCGTTTATAACTTGCAATACATCCGTGATACATCGAGCAGAGAGCAGATACGAAATTTTCATCTTCAAAAGCTCGGCAGAACAACATTATGACACTTCGTGCGCTCGACGAAGCATACGACTTTTTTAATAGCAATATATTGTCACATCGAGGAACGTTATTCTGCAACTATCGATACGTCCAAAAAAATACACCGTGTTTGGAACGAGTTGCACTGTGGGAAAGTCGCGGACAGTCAATATTTATCTTCTTTTGAGCGATGCTACAGAAATTAATATCGATCTGATATTTAATGATATTGTGATAGAGGAATGAATTTATATCTTGTAAATATTTATTTCGTACATATAGATATATTCACTTACTAATATAGATATGTTAAAAGAAAATGGGTCAGTATAACGTTACAATCTATTTTTTTTTTTTTTTTTTTTTTTGCGAATAAGTATATTTATTTGTCATACTTGAGATAACTGTGGCTTGTAATTAGAGACAAAATTCATCAAAATCTTTTTTTATAAATAAGACTTTCGGTTATCTGTTCTATATACTTTTAATAGAACAATATTTCGTTCCCGTCTTATATAACTCGGTTAAAAATGATGATCATTATAGATGAAGAGGACTGCTGGCAAGTCGATATTTTGATGGCAAATTACAAACGACTGTAATAATACGATAAAACTAACTTATCCCTCGACACGAAGAAACGAGCGGCTAGCCTTCCCAACGGAGTTGAAGCGTTTGGATGGATCATGAGGGGAAAACTTCTCGTTCTACGTATCTAACAATTATCTCCTTCCTCCCCCTTTATAAAAAGTTCCCCGCCGTTTGTCACCGCAAATTTGTAACGTGTGCGGCCTTTGTAATCGTGACGGCGGATGTGCGACGAATACAAATTTCCGAGGGTGACGTGACGCATTACTGAAATTCTTATCTATATTAACGAAACCATGTTGACGACGGTGATATCGATTTGTCAGCGTTGAATATACGTGGATGTAATTCGTGAAAGAGATCCCTTCTCTTTATTGGGCCACTTCTCTTTAACACTTATGTGTTATGTACAAAGCGTGATTAATAATAATAATAATGTTATATAACGTACGATGCGAAGTATCCAAATCAAATAGCGTGTTTATATTAATGATGTAATTTATGTATATTTACGTAAATTATGATGACGAAAGGAGATATTTTCCCTAACGAGAGTTGGACTATATTTCCTCATTCAATCACGCCGCGCAATTTCTTTCCTGATAAGGTCGTATTAAGTATCATTTATATTAAGGAGCTTTTCTTCGTTTTAAGAATAAGCTTTCCCAAATTATATTTGATTATCTTGATCTATCCCTAATTCAGCACTCGTGTACACGGAAAGAACAGTTTGGAAGTAAAAATTTAGCTAAATATAGATTTGAAAATAATTTCGCTATACTCCAAAATAATTATATAGGACAATCAGATTAGTTACTTGAATGTCAAAATTTATTGCAGTATTGTTGATGGTACTTGAGTTTTTACTTTGATTTTATATTTTGATAACCCAAAACTATTTTCAGATTTGTAGCTACCTAAATTTTTAGATATTTTAACACAAAATCATTTTTTTTTCACACATAGATATACATTTGATCAATGTAATATAATATAGCTCCTTTATTTTACATACCTACATTAAATTAACTACATTGCGATTATATTTTTACGATGGTATTATGTATCGACAATTATACAATATTTTCGATTCAGTATATTCTTTGCACTTTATCTTTGTGTACAGAAAGAATGATTTTTGCGGGATTTAAAAATTTAACTAAATACACAGATTTGAAAATAATTTTGTTAAATTATTAAAATCATTTATACAAATTAAATCATTCTTTTCATGAGTTTTTATATTTTATGAGTTCACACATCGCTGCTCAAAGACATTCATCGCTTGAATTCTCTTTGGCTTCAATTTATGCGGCATCGGCGAATGATATCGGCGCAATTAATTGGATTTTCACAAGCAATTAATTAATTAGCATCCTTTCGGTGTGTTACAGGCGGGAGCTCTGCCGAGACCCCTAGGCGCGGTGGCTGCGGCGGGATACGACGACAACAATTAATCGGCGGAGCTGATCCAGGGACATCTTTCCGATTTGTTTCTTGATGAAAACGCGCGACCACCCTTTCTTGTACAATATAAATTATGTATAATTCATCGTCATTGCGTCTTGATCTGCGCGCGCGCTTCCCAGGCTGATGGTAAGCATCCCTAAAATTCCCGTGTCTCTTACTCTCTCTAAAAAAAAAAGCGAAGCTTTTTTGAAAACAATTTGTGTTATCGGGCGAATGATTGATCGACGTGAAGAGAACTTCATCATTGTTTGCACGCTTGATTTGCGCGCGCGTTAATCTGAAGCGACGCGTTCCTAGAACGACAGTTTTACGGTAATCGATTCTTTCGCTGTGTATAAGATTTTGCGAGATTCATGACACTGTTCAACTTACACGTTCTATAAGATCTTTCTTGAACAATTGCACTCGCCATTCTACCTCGTCGTCATTTCCATTAATTAGTGACAGCGCTATAAAAGGACACTTGGCCTAAGTCCTTCATTCGTGAGATAACAATCTAACAATCTAAACGCTTCGATCGTTACAATTTTCTCTTCGCAATTGTCCCTTCATTTAATTACACGTATCGGCACAGAAATATAGAAATTATTTTACGCCCCATGCGCTAATGTTATACAGCAGAGCATCCCAGACTTTCCGGGTGATTTATTAATAAATCAAAAATTAATTTTATTTTCTTTGGAAAAAATTACATTACTTGTTTTAATTGTCGATTTAATGTTTCGGCTAATAATTTATTTTTATTAATATAATTAAACTGATTAATTAAAGTATAGGTTCTATTGTTCATTTACGCTTCAACTTATTAAAGCTTTTTCTCATTTTTCTTAAATTATTATTACATAATAATTTTATAATTAGATCTTCCACTGAATATTTCTTTGAAAAGACAAAGAGAAAATAGTAGATCTGACCTGAAAGATTGTTTCATAATTCTGGGATATCGTATAATTTTCAACAGCTGGCCTGTTGGTCTATCGATCGATTAATAGTCTCATGATAAATGTGCCAAATAATATGATCGTTGTATTATAAAAAGAAAAAAGATCTACATTATCTTATTACGTATGTATAGAAGAGGCTGTAACAATTTAACAATTTTATGCGTAATGGGGATCGATTGTAAAACTTGGATGCAAAATGCGCAAACTATATTATCCAATATTAATTATATTCGCCACAGAAAGAGGGTCGCGTCTCAAATATATGTCAATTTACAAAATTAAAAATAAATTATTATGTAACACTGTGTCACATTTATTCCTCTGAAGCAAATGTGTTCTACAAAATTCTTGATTTCCCATGTAAATCCCGCGGCAGAATGTTTTCCGCGGATATTACTCCGTGAATGCATCATCTACGAATGGAATTACTGGTAACATATAATTGCGTTAGTTATATTAATGAAATAATAGAAGTTAGACTCTTCGACGTAGTAAAGTTTTGACGTTCATGGTGGCAGCTAATCTAAATAAAGGGGAAAGAATTAGGAAAGAACGAGGAAACGCTTAATTCATGTCGCTAAAAGGATTTTCTCATCTTCCAGGCAGATTAAAAGTCCGTTAAAACTTTCAAAAAATAGACCTTAATAAAATTGGAATAAAAAACTTTCGATACTAAAGAAGTAATTCGCACGAACTTTTTCACGAGAAAAAATTGACGACTATTTATTTTGAGATGCATTATATAAAATGCGAAAAATGTAACCTACACTTTACTGCAAAATATCTTATCAAAAGCTATAAACGTAAAAAAAGTATCATAGGAAAAAGCATCTTTCTGTATTATTTCGAAGATCCGTTTTATTGGATAAACATATCTACATATTAATTACAGAGTTAAAATTCAAGCATATTGAATAAAGATTGATTACGAGAGAGATATTACTCGCTACGTGTGCAAATGACTTATTTAAAACGTGCTGACCTGACGAACGAGCAAATCCTTTTGATAGATTGCGCCACTTCTTTATCTTCATGGCTCAGATCTCCAATGTTCTTGAATTCCGGTCTTAGGAGAACTTGACTTCGTACACGCTCCAAAGTAATCGATAGAGGCATTGTTAATATCCTTGACCAATTTGTTGCCTCGTAATTAGTCATAAACTGCAATACACGATTTATTCGCAATACGTGTGCTAATTATAAGCACAGTTGAATTCGTATCAAAGATCTATACACAGGAAGAAAGATTTTGCTGAAGTAAAAATTAAAAAATTAAAAATTTAGCTAAATACAAATCTGAAAATAATTTTGTTTAGATTATCAAAATAATTATATAAGATGCTTAAACTAGATGTTAGAATGTTAAAACTTTTTGTAGCATTGTCATCAACATTGGAACGTTCTATATAATTATTTTAATGATTTAATAAAATAATTATTTTCAAATCTGTCAGATTTGCTAGCTAAATTTTTAGATGCTTCAGCAAAACCATTCTTTCCAGCTATCACTGAGGGACGTGTAACTCTAATCATAACATCACTAACTTGATCAAAGCATGTGTCCTCAATATGAAACATTATATGTGTGAGAGGTTTCACGATGGGCGAGACCTTAGGTAGATTAATCAAATCTACCTGCCTGCTTTCCTCACCGCGACGTAAATTACTTAATACCCAGTCGGAAGCTCGAACTAGATATTCGTATGCAATCTGCGTACACAAACATCATTCATAAACATTATGCATTCGTTTCTCATGCGGCAAATGTACGAACTAATTCTTTACTCACTTTTAAAGAACGTCGTCCGATATTCGTGAATAACAATTCGTCCGTGTAAGTCTCAATGACGCAAGCCATGTTTTGTAATTCACCATTTCTCGGATTCTGATGTTCTCTTCTAAGGCTGTAATAAATTTCCTTTTTCTTTTTTCCACTTAGATGAAGTAAAATTTTTTAAATATATAAGATTATTATAATCGACATTAAATTAGATTAAATATAATCAAATTATTGGAATAATTACGCTAGTTTCAATTGTATTTTGCATTAATAAATTTCGTTTTACAGAAATTTTATTAAATGTTAAGTTTAAGAAAACTAAAGTTTCATGTATTATAATGCACAGTTTATATTCCTTGTAACATAAGCTCGTAACAACATTATGAAATTATATGTGACACAATACAGTTTTTATCTCATATTTATTCCGAGCGCGAGTTATATTTATGTATAAATAAATAAATCAGGAATAATCCAACGCAATGCTGTAATACAATTCAAAATTCAAGCTGTAAATATAATTCATAATAATGTGTATTATTATGCATTTATTTGAATATAGAACATGACACATATAGAACATAACAATAACATATAACAAATGTGAATCCCAAATCCATCTTTTAACATTTTATAACATCTTTTAAATTAAAAATGCATGATATACTCCGCATTCAACACACTCTTAATTCTGGTATATAGACAAATCTAGCACTTTGAGCAATATAAACTTTTTCTAAGAAGTTATTAATTCTATACTTCTTTTATATCTCCAGTGGAGAATTATATTATAAAGAATTATTGTGGAGAGAATTATAAACGCAATTTATAACATCACGGTAGAAAATTGTTACTTTACAAAAATCACATCAGTATTACTGTTATCCTACAATTAGGGATAATATAATTACGAGGTAACTCACCTACCTATCTTTTACAAGAAGCAGGAAGGAGTCTATCTGCGATGTATGTTTATTGTCCTCGTCGATGCTGCAAATTGCTTCAGCAAGCGCCGTTGCGGCGGTAGATCTATCGTATGGATTGAAGGGACTCAGCTCGCAGCACGTGTCTCCAGAATTCGGTGTATCATGGGGCTCGTTCTTGCCTTTTGCAGACACACCCAGAAGGGTGGAATATAGAGCGGCGCATAATACCTGGAGCAACACGTTGCCACCGATCGGCCGACAGTGCGCTGGGATGTTGTCGTTTAACGCGAACGCGGCGCGTAAAACTGGAGTCGAGGCGGTCACATACAACTCGGCGAAACAGCCGATCGCAAGGGACATGGCTTGATATATACTGGCACCTGTCTAAAAATAATTTTTTAAAATTTATTCTAACGCTGCAATTCTCATAGCAATATTAAACTTCACAATTTATTTTGCATCTCTTATGACACCGTAGTGACGTCTTGATATTATTTGCAATTTTAACAAATGATAAAAAAAATTAAACATTCGTTATAAAAAACAACAAATATAAATATATTTTTCTCACACGTCGGATCATAGCGCGTAAACATTATTGTATAGTAATTACTTTTGCGGCTTCTAAAAGAGCTTCAGTCACAGGCTGCATCATGATCTTCAATGGCTTTATCAGCGCATTGAGCCAAGGTGGCCGCGATTGATTCCAGACCTTCAAAACGATAAATAAATTATAATTTTACATTCACATTGATGTAAGTGTAAAATTAATGTGAGCGTAATATTCGATGCATTTATAAATTAAAGTAAAATAGAATATTTAAAAGTTTGATAAAGAAAATACACAGATTATAGATACAACAATATTAAAATTATTTTCATGTCAAAAAAATGTCTATCTCGTATAAAGATGAATAATATTTTAAAAAGTTATAGATATCTTTTTAATATTATTTATGTAATATATATAAGGAATTTAAGATAGATATTTTTCTTTTTCTATATAAATAAATCATTTCGGAATGTTAAATGTCACTTTTAAAATATCTCGATTTTATATTATTTTCTATATATATATATAATACATGCTATTCATATAATAATTTCTGTTAATCTTCGTTAAAAATAAATTTAAATAAAAATGCAAATTCTTGTCATAAAACTCATCCATATATATTGTGCAAACTGTATTTTGATATGAGAATTAATAATAAATTTATACAATTAACTCTTCAAACGATATTTCGTAAAAGCATACGACCTGCTGTCTGTCCAAATAATTGGACCAATTCGGATCTTGCTTCAGCGCTGGTATAATTACGTGCTCCGGTTCGTTAACAGTTACCACCAATATGTGAAATAAGCTGTATAATACCAGAGCTGAAGTTATTTTTAGCGTTTTGTCACACGCCGAATTACTGCATAAAAAGCC